TGCAGAGAACAGAATCCACTCCAGCTGGGTTAAGCAGAGGGAGATTTATTACAGGGTATTAAATGGCTTACAGAATTTGTTGGGAAGGTGAAGAAACAGACTTTAGGTTGAGCTCTCAGGAATGACCTCTAAAGCCTCACAGCAGAGCAGGCTGCCAAGGGAGCAGTTGCCTGTTGTGCAGTCATGAAACCACCTGCCAAATGGGGAGTGTTTCAGAACCATGCTGCCACTGACATGGGTAGGAGGTCACTGCTGGAAAACCAAACATTTCCAACAATGGTGCTGCTAAGAAACAGTAGAAGCATGGCCCCTAACTTCCAGATCTTTGCCTTCCAAAACTTTGGCTTCTAAATCTCACCCAACTTTATCAGATGGAGAACACCTAGACCACATAGCTGCAAGGGAGTCTAGAAAATGTTTGTCTTAACCTTCTAGTCTTTGCAATTAGGAAGACACATGGGAAGAAGCTTCTAAGTTGTTAGGTCACACCCAACAGTACTTTTCATTGGGATTGTGGTCTACCTGTTATACTTACTTCCACAGGGATTGATACAAAAGACCATGCAGAAACATTTCTCCCTCCACCTCCTTTTTCTGCTTGTCACTGCATGCCTGCATGTGTGTACATGCACATCCTTCTCCAGTTCCTCCCACACACACAGAGTAGCCTGCTTTTGATGGGCTTTCTATTCTGCTTTATATTTCATACCTAAGGTAAAGAATTACTTCATGATAATACAGTTTTCAGTGTAGGCATCTGCTTGTCTTGGTTTTCAGAACTTTCAGGTTTGGGAGGGTGTTGCTGAGTGAAGGCTGTGTTGTGCAGTTGGTGAAGTAGCAAACTGAGATGAGGACCTTGGGTTCTAACCCAGTGGTTCTCAACCAGCCAAACATTATAATCTCATGGGGAAACTTGGAAGATACCGTAGTTCGATTGGCCTCTAGTAGGGATGGGGTGTTGATACAATTTTAAATCTCCTTGGGTGACTTGGATGTGCAGCTGGGGCTGAGAACCTCAGTCCTCCTACACGTAGAAACATCTTTCCTGGTGTCTTCCTTTTTTTGGCTGCTGTAATTCATATTTAAATGAGAGCGAATCTATTTGTCTTAAAAGATATCTTTCCGGTTGTCCTTGCTGTGCTTTCTAGTACCCTTGTTTTAAAAGCAGCCATTGAAGTTATGTTATTGTTAGCTGTTTTTTTTTTAAAATAGCTATTCAATAGGATGAAGCTAGTTGGTATGTTTTACAAATGTTATTTATAATCTGTTTAAACTATTATATCTAATATTATTCCTGTCAAAAAATTTACATAGTCAGCAATCTTCAAACTTTGCCCTGTGAACATGGGTTCATGGAATTGACTTGAAATTTCCATACTAAAGTTCAGTAAAAGTAAGCTATTCTCAATTTATGGAAAAAACATATAACACATAGTTTTTCTAATTCTAATTTCCCCTCTTTTCCCCTTAAGCACGACTTGGTGTGAATGTTACCTGGTTGAGTATAAAATTCTCTATCATCTGCCAAGAACTCTTTTCCTTCTTAGTGATTTACTTCCTAAGTATGTTTGAAAATGTTACTTTATTTAAAAGCTGTTGATATAAAAATTTTATTTTAATGGTGGAATCTACTCTTACAATGCAGAGAGTGATGATAAAATCAGGCAATTAGGTTTTTTATTGAATTTATTGGGGTGACATTGGTTAATAAAATTATATAGGTTTCAGGTGTACAATTCTATAATATATCATCTGTATATTGTATTGTGTGTTCACCACCCAAGTCAAGTCTCCTTCCATAATTAGATTTTAAGACTAATAGCTTTAAACATTTACATGCTATTAGTATATGGGAAAAAGTATATATAACAATGAAAGTCAGTCTTCTGAAAACAATGTAAAGTTTGCTGAATCTTCTAAAGCCCAGTGAACTGAAGCCTGTTAAATGATATGCACTGTGTGTGCCGAGAGGCTATTCTGAGTTCACTTAAAAAGGGAGGCTCTCTTTCTGTGGTTCAGAACCCCAGCCCTTCTGATGGTAATTTTATGTTGTTTTCAGTGCAGCCATGTAAGTGTTCTTTACTGAAAATGACACTAGAAAACAAAAATAGGAGTGAGAGGCAGACGAAGAAATGGAAACTGAATGGCCACACAGCACTGGGGAACTAGATGGAATTAGTGCAGAGGCGAGGCCCAGGAGACTGCTAGCAATTTCTCTGAATCCATTCCCCATTGAACCGTGGTTATCTGTGCTTCGGTAGAATGTGCCCAGGACCTAATATACATTCCAGTGGCCTCAGGGAAATTCCATAGTGATCATTAACTATGTGCCCTCCCTGGAATCTTGGGTCTGTTTCCAAGAAGTAGCATTTGGTGGGGCTAGGATAGCAGAGGGAATTATGAGTTAGGAAGACCTCAATGGTGAATGTTTTTGAAGACCCATGAGTTGCTTTCTCCTCTTTCCTGATTTCTCCCTTCTTGAGTTATGGGCCAGGTTACTCATCATTAGATGTGTTTAGAAGTAAGCATGGTAGAATATGAACACATTTGCATGAATAATACAGGTAATGGAAACCATTTATGGAGTACTTGAACTGTTGGGGAGTTTTGGTGCTAAGCACTTACACCATTGTCTGCCATCACCCCTTGAGCCACCCAGGATGGCCTTCTTTAGAGGTGAGGAAAGTGAGGCTGAGAAGTCAGGGAAGTAGTGCAAGGTCCCACAACTGGTGAGTTTAGTAACTGGGCCTTCCCCCCAATTGAGAGTGGTCTGGCCCCAAACCCATGTTCTTAACTGCAACACTGCATGAACACTGCACACCTGTGGTGTCCGGAGTGTGAAATTGGGAGATTCTTGAATTCCAGGCATGTGCTATATGATGTCATGGTTAGCTTGAGTTATCATCTGTTTGAGGCTGTATATCATGAGGATCAGTGGAAAGACCAACAGTAAAAGATGGAAGATTTGGGATCTGATTTCAAACACTTAGATATGGAAGTACAAATTGGTGCTGAATCGGTCTTTGGGGGACATACCTGACCCTTTCTGAGTCTTGGTTTCCCTTCTGTAAGAGAAGGATAGTAATATGCTCTGAGTCTCAGGTATGCTGTGAGGATCTGTTGAGGTGACAAAACTGTGAGGTGTTCTGTATACATTAGGTGACATGACTTACAAGAGCTGAGTCACTGTATGGATTGTTTTCTCTTGTGTCCGAGACTCTGGGAGGGATACAAAGTGGAAGCCTTGTTTCCTTCTCTCCCAGAGGTGTAGAGTCCTGGTGGTGAGCCCCAGATGTGCGTTTTGGGATCAGTAAGTAGGAGAATGCTGTGGGAATTTAGGGCGGGAGAAACTGACTCTGAAAGAGGGTCACCCAGGGAAGGCTTTATGGCAGAGTGAATTAATTAGATTTTAAAGGATGTGGTGTTCAGGTGGAGCAAGAATAGTCCACTTTGTGGAAACTTTCCTTTGCTTTTAAAAGGAAAACCAACTAAGTACTTAGGGTCACCATATGCCTCTTAACAAACGTTACTTATAGACCGTCTTGCGATGTGGAACTCTGAGGGAATTTCTCTGCTCTTAAAAGGTGAAGGTGGAGGTATTTTTATGCTTTCCCATCTTCTTCCGTAGTGTTCATTCTGCCCTACCTTTTTCAGAAGACAGACCTGAAAGGAGGGAATCTTCTCCTGAAACCTTTAGGTCAGTACTATCATCGATCTCAAGTTGATTAGCAGTCTATTTCATTTTCCTCCTTAATTGAACAGCAAAGAGCACTCACTAATTCAGGATTTTTAAAAGATCACAAACTCTTATGGATAAAAATAGCACTGGTGGTTATAAGCACTCAGCTGAAATTAAAAGAGTTATCAGTCTTGCTTTGGGAAACAAGGTGACCAACCACTGATTTTGAAAGAGCACCTCTCCCATTCCAGGGATTAGCTAATAAAATTATTCCTGACGGTGGTGGGCAAAGGAGCTTAAGCAGTTCATATTTAGAGACAGAGAACCCATTGTCCAAAGATCTCAGAAGAGTCTTTGCAAATACACAGAAGGGATTTAGAACAATTTGCATAAATCTCCTCTTGGATAGCAACATGGCTCCAGTATTGGGGTGGTTCCAGGAACCCCTCCTTGGCTGTATCATGGGGTGACGCTGTGCTTGGTGAGAATTCAGTCTCATGACGGTTTTGCCAGCAGGACTGGGTGATGGGACGCTGAATAAGCCCACTGTTTGGTTCCACATAAGGACTCTTTTGTGTTGGCCTGGGGCAGCCATGTTCAAGTTTGTCTTGCTTTTTCCCCGAGTGATGTTTTTGGACTTTGTGGGCTGGAGAATTAAGCACAACACCTATTCTGAGCTAATCTGTCAAATTTTGTTCTTGAAAGGTAACCATAGCCTCTTGTATTTCTAGAATGTGGAGAATAATAGTCATACCTTTGGAGACCTTTGTCTTCTTAAATTAAAAATCTGGGAGAGGAAGGGACCTTGTGTGGTGTGATAGTGAGGCATTCACCCCTGTTCAGGGTGGGACTGTGGGAAGTAAATCCCTTCTGCTTGTTAATATTATTTGCCTTGTTCCCTAACTTCTTGAAGAACTATCTTCTCTTGCATAGTTAACAAATAGATTGTACTTTAATATTTAATATTCCCCAATGAAAGGGTATGGGTCACTCTGGAGTGTAATTTTAAAATGTCAGATGATTACAAATATGTGTCAACTTTTCCTTCTTTTTTCTTCTTTTTGAAAAAAAAAAGATACACATTAAACACTACATATTAGGAGCTATACCGGTTACTTGCTTATAGTGTTAGCGTTCTAGAAGCCACATGGGGAGTCTAATTTAAAATCCAATGAGTAGTTTTTGTACTAGGGGAATTCACTGCTTTAAGTACAAAAATGAAATCCACTAATTTCTGACCTGGAGTTTATTTTCTTTCAGTTGCTAGCTTGATTTTTCAGCTTTGTTTTAATAACATAAACATTTTTATGTTTATTTATAGGTGGCTTTAACCAAGAGAGCAGATCCAGCTGAGCTTAGAACAATATTTTTGAAGGTCAGTATAAAGGAATCTATTTTGTTTCTTGTTTGATTTGTGTTCTCCAAACTTTAAAGATTATTTTCAAGCAGCTCTTTATTTCATTGTTATAGTTTTTAAAAATCCTCATAAGTATCTTTACTTAAGACTTTTAAAAAAGATTCTTTACATCTATTTAAACAATGTATCAGCAACTTAGTGATTGTGATGGCAGCATGGTTTACCTTTTCATTTCTTTTTTTAATCTCCCGTGGTGTCAGGCATTGACAAGGAGTTTCTGGGGGATTTAGTCTCACACGCCATTTACCTTTCCAGGATTGCCTTGTGCAGTTCAATGGTGATGCTTTTTCTCCTAAGAAGTTTAGAGCTCTTTGTAAACATTCCAGTAATCCTTCATCCATCCAGAGGGGGCTCTCCTTGCGTCTCCTTGGTAGAAGCGCATCATCATCATTGTCGTCACCGTCATTTTGTGACAAGTGTTGTGCCTGGAGTGGAAGCCTCAGCATGAGTAATGATAGGTGGGAGATCATAGCAGAGACCATACAAGCTTATTTCCTTAGTGTGTCCTAGTCTCACCTACTTAGTGATACTGAGCGTGAATGATTAATACTCAAATAAAAGTCTAACTCAGTTTCCAAACACTGAAGCACTTGTAATGTTATTCAACTGAAATCAGAGTATTCAAAAAAGAAAAGGCCACTTTTATAAAAATGATTTTAAGTGTATATATGTATACCTTTTCTAAACATGCTGAAGGCAACTGTGATGTGCATGGAGAGGACCAAAGCCTCAAATGAGACATTTGACGTTCTGCTCTGTACTGAGAATATATGACTTTGCAAGTTAATAATTTTGTGTACATCACTTTCTTCATCAAAATGCATTACTATTAAAAAAGGAGCAATCAGAAAATTTGAACTCTGATGAGATTATTTAATATTGAGTATTTGTTATTAATTGATTTTTAGGCTGAGTAATGGTATTCTGATTATGGGAACTATCATCTTTTTCTCTTAGAAATACACACTAAAGAATGTATAAATGAGATTGTGATGTCTGAGATTTGCTTCTAAGTAATCCAGTTTTGGTGGGGTAGGAAAAATGAGTGGGCAGTATGATGATAATTTTTGAAATTGGGAAATGCAATAGTCGGTTTATTATTTATTAGACTCTCTTCTCTACTTTGTATATGATTGAACATTTTCATAATAAGTTACAAAAATTGTAAAGATTCAATAAAAAAGTTTGTGAAAGTGCCCGACACCTGATTTGCATTAGAAATTGATTAGAAAATGCTTAAAGTTAAAATAATTCAAACACAGAGAGACAAAGTCTCCAAAGGAAAATGGTTAAAAATATGAGCCATTTTGGGGGGTAGGAAAAAGAATACATTTGCAGGGAGGCTTGGATTATCTGTAAGAAATCAGAAATCTTTTATAAATTTGTTTTTGCCTCAAAAAGGACAATGCAATACAGAGATTCTGAGGTGGAAAATGATTCTGGGTACTGAGAGTCCAGGAAACGGAGGTGCTCTGTCTCTGACCTCCACCACTGTCTGTTATCATGCACTTTGGGCCCGCCGTGGTTGGGGTGAGTTGTCCATGAGGGAATCTCAGATATTCGTAGGTTGTGTATTTAAGGTCTTGATTATAAAACTCTAATGATGTAATTCTGGATGACCACTTGTAGAAGAGCATGTGAGTGGATTGCCCAGGAGCCTAGAGAAATGGATAAAGTTCATTAACTTGAGCTGGCAGTCATAATCATTCTTTGAACTCAAGACCTGCCTGTTGCGTATTTGTTTTCTAAACCAGCCATAGTTGTGGACATCCGTTTGACAGGAAAGGAGAGCAGTAGTGTCTCAATAGATGGCACGTTTGAGACACTTGCTGGTGTTTTTGCGTAATTCAGTGGAAAGGCTCCAGATAAAAGCTGTGTCTACCTTTTGAGGCCACGTGGCAGCTGGTGAGGCCAGGTTGAGAGCCTACTCTGGAACAATGTGTCTTTACCAGATACAATCTCTCAATAGCGGGCAAGTCTGTATTGGAGACAAATCAGATTGGTCAGGTAGAGGAATTCCACACAGGGTTCTGGAGCACCACCTGTGGGGTGTCTTTGTAAGTGGGCCTGTGGGCCGGGGTGGAATCTTTGGGACCAGATGGGGAAATGCTGTCCTCCCTTGGGGTGGCTAGGACCACCTGGTTTTTGAGTGAGAGTTCAGTACAGCCTTGAGTCCAAGAGGATAATGTGGGGTGGCAGGGGGGACCTGTCCTTGTAGAAAACAGCAATCAGCAATTTCTGAAAGGGATTGTGGATCTGGCAGAGTTTCGGGTGATCTCATCAGGCCTGGATAGCGTGGTACCTACATAAGTCCTTGGCTCAGCACGCTGAGGATCTCTTGTTTACCATCTACCGCAGACGGTGTTGTGGTGGAGAAAGAATAGGAGCGAGGCGCCCTGGGGGCTGTGCCAGGCACGTCTCCCCAGTGCCTGGGTTTGGTAGTTAATTATGGATCAGCCATAAGCACTCTGTAAGCCTGACTACTTGACTGATTCTTTGTGACTTTTCTTCATAATAAATATACCACCTTCCTCTCTGCTAAACTAGTTAGAAGATTCTCCTGTAGCTGGGGGAGGCAGAGAGAAGCCTCATTGTACTCTTTGGACCAGATGGGCTGGGAGCAGGGGAATGGGCAGTGTGCAGGTGGCAGGGCCAGTGGGACCGAGACAGGTCAGGCAGGAGGGGCCCTGGAGGACTACAGTGGCCCATGTACTGGCAGACCTTATGTCTTTGAGTCAAAATCAATTCTGCTGTCTCTTTTCTTCTTTTTTTGTAGGTGTTTACTGTATGCTAAGTGTGGTGTGAGGTGTTGGGTATATAAAGATGTATCAGTCATGGCTCTTGCCCTTAACTATCTCACTGTGTGTGTCTAAGTATAAAAAAAGAAAAAGCCATAATATGGTTGATAAGCATTACATAGCATTAATAGCAGGAAGATGATGAGGGGCTAATTACATCATATTAGAGAGAGTTGTTAAAGTTACAAAGAGGTGATGTTTGAGCTGCGCTTGAAGATGAGTAGGTGTTTATTTAACAAATGGAGAAGGTAGAGGAGGGTTGTGGGGCAAAGGAGGAACATTCCAGGCTAAGGAACAGCATATGCAAAGCAAAGAGGTATAAGAATACCAGGCCTGGAGCGCAGGGACATAGAATGGTGAGGAGGGCTGCACTTGGTGTAAGCCATTCCTAACCTAAGGCCATTGAACTCTATTACACAGGCTGTTCTCGAGCTAAGTCGTGGCTAATGTTTTGTCTGGATGTGGAAATTGAAGTCTAGGTGTGGGCACTTGTGCTTCTAACCTAAATGTTGACATGTGTTTTTTGTTTGCCCAACACTTTTGATGTTGCTTCATTTAAACAGATGGGTATTGAGTGCTTACAGTTTAAATAAAACACCATGAAACTTTGTGGTGAGTGGGATGTGCAAAACAGGGATAAGCAGTGACCATGTCTCACAGTTCCGATTTTATAAAGGAGACCAGCTTTACCGGCAGGAAGCAAATAAAAAAGAATCACTAGTCAGCATACTCGAGGGCCCCACGTGTGGTTAAGCCCATGCCACAGGAAGCGGAAGGGGGCCGCAGTCCCTGTGGCGGGGAATGCTCAGAGAAGGCTCCTTGGAGATGGAACTCGAGGAGCCTCAGGGAGGAGTGGGAGCTGGAGAGGCCCAGAGGAGGGCAGCCTAGGCAGTCCAGGGAAGAGGAACGCATTTGAGGGAACCTGGAGATGGGTTTGGGAGCAAGCAGCTTCTCTAGGTTGAAGGATTCTTGTTCATTCTTCAGATGTTTATTTAAATTCAACTGTCAGGGACTGTGCCAATTATCATGGGGTGTGGGTGACAAAATTAGAAAGGTAATTGGGAGTGAGGTATTGGTGCCACTGAAGATTTTCTGAGTAACCCAGTGGTACAGGAAGATGGAGTTGAGGTTCGATCGGGGCAGCAAGGCCAGGAGTTAGGCAGCCTCGAGTATAAGGTGTGAGGCCCTAATAACTTGACTAGGGTCATGGCAGCAGAGGGAATGGAGAATGGGCAAGTTAAAGACATTTCGAAAGGTATTAGATGAAAATGACTGATCTAGTATAAGGGATGGGAGAGAGCAGAGGTTAAATATGACCACTGGATACATAGTCTGGGGACATGGAGGTTGCCACTAATAAGAATGGGAACCCAAGGGGGAAAACATGAGCTCAGGGGAGAGCAAAGGAGGTGGCGTGTACTGATTAGAAGTACAGAGCTGGAAATCGCTGAATGCCTGTAGAGTAAGACTTTGAAGGTGGGCAGACTGGGTAGAGGGACTGGATGATGGAAATAGACCACATTACAAATTGTAGTACTCACAGCTAGTGAAGGGCACTTGGATTTTTATAGTTATTCTTTGTCAACAAAAGCATAATATGTATTTTAAACATTTTTGTAGGCAAAAATTTGAAAAATAATTCCATTTTGAATATTTTTTTCTTATAACAATACAGTTCATATTCATTGATGACATTTTAAATAAGAGAGAGATATAAAAAGAAGTAATTTTTGATCCCAGTAGGAGGTATTGTCATCTCTAGCTGTATTCACCCATCCATCCATCCATCCATCCATCCATCCATCCACCCTCCCACCCATATTTATTATGAGGAATTGGCTAATTCCGTATGTAATAGAGGCTGAGAAGTCCCATGATGTCTATCCTGGAGACATAGGGAAATTGGTGGTGTAATATAGTTCAAGTCTGATGTCCGGAGAACCAGGGAAGCTGATGACATAAATCTCAGTCTGAGGGCCGGAGAAGATATGTCGCAGCCCAAGCAGTGGACTCCAGTGGGGCTGGAAAAAAGGAGCAAATTCTCCCTCCCTCCGCCTTGTTCTGTTAGGCCCTCAGTGGACTGGATGAAGTCCACGCAGCGCTGGGGAAGGCAGTCTGCTACTGAGTCCACAGATTCACAAGCACATGTCATCCAGAAATACTGTCACAGACACACTCACAAATAATGTTGAATCTGGGTGCTCCTCGGCCAGTCGGGCTGACACAAAACTAGGCATCACATTTAGTATTATACTGGGTTGTTCAAGGAATCCTAAAAGCCTTCTGTTTCATAAGTACATATTTAATCATATTAAAACTTCTGAAAATTGTTAAGGAGGGAGGCTCAGATCACCTGTAAAATCTGTTCCCAAAGAAGGATTGAATAACATTTTAAAGATGTTGTTTAAAATGTTAAACAACTAAGAGATTAAGTGGAAAAAAACTAAAGTTGGAGAATTCTTACCTTCAGACACATACCAAAAAAAAAAAAAAAGTACTGTGTTGAAACTTAAAGGTAAAAGATGAACATACCTAGGAAAAAGCTAAGAGAATATGTGGGTGAATCATTAGTCTTGAGATGAGGAAGGGTCAATTTCTAAACTTAAAGTAATGGAAGACATTGCATAGGAGAAAAAAACCTACCGGCTCAATTAGATAAAAATATCAAACTGGAAAAATACATGTAGCAAATACGATAGACAAAGCGGGAGAAGGGCATGTTTGCACACTGTTGGGGGGAGTGTGAATTGGTACAATATTTTCTGGAGAGCAGTGTGACAATAAGCATCAAGAGCCTTAAGGTTCCTCTCCTTTGACTCAACAGTGTGTCCTGGGAGGGTAGCCTTTGAAAATTGTCAGGAATTTGGACAAATGTTATAATGTTATATACAAGGCTGGTAACCTTAGCTTTATTTTAAAATACCAAGAACTGGAAATAATTTCAACGTCTACTGGTGGGAAAAGAGTTAAATTGTAATTTTAAATAAACTAATTTATTCACCACTATATGCAAATATAGGTATAATTCTAAATCATAGTATTGCTGTAATTAGCAGTGACATTTCCTTTATATTTCAATCTCTATTTTGCCTCAGTTAGGGAAATCAAAAGAGAATTCTACATTTTCAAAAAGCCAAATTTAAATGGTAACCGAAGAATAGTAGAATTATTGGGCCATCTTTGAGTTGTTGTTTTTTTTTTGCACTATGTTAAAAAAAGTGTTAAACAAAAACCAGTAATATAGAACATTTATAAATTGCTTATTGCGTATAGAGCATTGTGCTAAGTCTGTTACATGATTATTCATTTATTTCTAGCATCATCCTCATGAAGCAGGTAACCTCGTTATCCCATTTGCAGGTGAGGAGCCAGAGGCCCAGAACATTATTGGGTTGGCCAAAATGTCCATTAATTTTTTTCCATAAAATAAAAGACACATTTTTCATTTTCACCAATAACCTTATTAATTTGGATATTTCGAGTCTGTCGGCCATCTCCCACATGGTATAGCGCTGATTGTTTTCAGTTAATGTCTCGATTTGACAGGTATCAACGTCAACTGGTCTGCCGACCGCAGAACATGATCCAGTGAGAACTCTCCAGCACGAAACTTCACACACCACTTTTGACACATTAGATCAGTCACAGCACCTTCTCCATAAAATGCACAAATCTTTTTTTGTGTGTGTTTGAATTGCGTTTTTAGCTTTTTTGATACAATAAAGATAATATGCTGAAAATGTTGCATATTTTCTTCCATCTTCAGTATTAAAATGGCTACACAAATATTCCCCAATTTTGATGAGTGTTTTTAAGTGCACACTCATATGACATCTGTCACAATACATCTAACAAAATTGTTTTGAATGATGATAATACAGGGGAAAAAAACAAACTCTTAGGGCAACCCAATAGTTACTTATCTGGGGTCACACGAGTGGTTACACGCAGCAGAGGCAGAGCAGGGTGCAGCCCAGGGCTCCAAGCTTGCTCCTGAGTATCTAAGCAGGAGCTTATCTTGCATTGGAATTAAAGTATAGAAACAGCAGGTGACTTTGTAAAATAATTTTAATTACGCTTGACTGTGGGGTTACAGAGGGAGCAGAGATCCTATCACTGCCCCTCACTTCACTGTGCTTCCCTGTCACTGTGGCCACCAGTATGGTTCCTGTCACCCATCTAGCCCTGTTCTCTGTGTAGCTCACTGCTGTCACCCACTCCCCTGTATCCCCCCAAATCACCGCCCTGTCCCCAGGATCAAGAGGCCCTTTTCTGCTCCGTAAGGATAACATATTGATCCCCAAGTTGTTTCTCAGCGTTTCCCATAGCATCTGGGCTCCAAGGAGCAGGAATTAGCAGATCCCACTTCTGTGAGCTGGAATGGATCGCACTGAAGCCAGACCTCTGGGGGAGTGCTGTGAAGACGCATCGAGTGCCACCTAGTTCTTTTCAACCATTTCCGCTCCAGAACGAAGAGGACCTACTGGGGCAGCATTTCATACCTTTTTCCCTAAAGTCCCACAAGAAGCCATGCATTTAATAGCCTGTTTTCTAGCTTAGCCTGTTTTTTATCCTTTCGTCCATCTTTGATGCCCTTGAAGCAAAAATGGGCAAAAGAATTAGTTTGTATTCAACAATTAATCCCACTTTTAATAAAAGCTCTACATCTTGGCTAAAGAACAAGACATAGATTGTCTTCCCAAATTTCTGTAAACCAGAGTTTCTCAACCTCCACACTCTTGATACTGTGGGCTGGACTGCTCTGTTGTAGGGGGTCATCCTGTGCGTTGCACGGCGTTTAGCAGAATCCCTGTCCTCTACCAACTAGGTGCCAGTAGTGTCCCTCTCCCCAAGTTACAATAATCAAAATTGTCATCAGATACCGCCAGATGTCCCCTGTAGGGAAAAACAAAGACAAACGGAGGAAGCTCAGAGCTAGAGGACTCCACCCCAGAAAGGCAGACAACGTAGAGAGAAGGCTAGTTCTTGCTGGTAACACTCGGCTGTCAGGGGACATTGGTGTCCGTAGGCTGGACAGTCAGGCTGAGCGGCCTCCAGTTCAGAACCGGCATGAACCTCAAACCTGGCAAACTCAGGTTTTTGTTTTTTCTTTGAAGTGATGGGAAATAAATGTCTTTGTGAAGAGAATGTTATCACACCTGATTTTATCCTTTGAATATTTTCAGCTTTTTCGCATATTAATCTCATGATTATATATTTTTTAGAGTAAAATATCTCTTCTCTTTTCAAACAGTATGCAAGCATCGAAAAAAATGGTGAATTTTTCATGTCTCCCGATGATTTTGTCACTCGGTATTTGAACATTTTTGGAGAAAACCAGCCTAATCCAAAGACCGTGGAGCTTTTAAGTGGTGTGGTGGATCAGACCAAAGATGGGTATGTTTATTTTTAATGATCTCATTTAAGATTTTTGTTTGAAGCAGCTTTCTGCTACTTTAATGATCAGGACATCACTGAACATACTTTCCATCTCTTAGAGCATTTTCTGTACTTATTACAATTAATATATCATTTTAGAAATAGTAACCTTAATATTTCCTTTTGTGTTTATATCACAGTTGGGGGTTTTCTGTGTATTTCTTTCTATAGTTTAGAGAACTGTTCGTAGTTTCACAGAACTGTTGTAGTTAATGAACAGTATGAAGGTAACCAGAGTGTTTGTATTCCTGTTGGTATTTTTCAAGGCATGTGTTAAAATTGTGAGTAAATATAAAACACAGCTGTAAGAGCATAACCTTTCTATAGTGCTTCTCTCTACTCAGTTAACTTTTAAATTTAACACGTGATAAAGGCTACTAGTAACAGACAGAAAAAATGATTCCAAATCCTCATTAAAAGCATTCTAACCAAGCTGGAGGAGAAAGACTGAACCATCTAAAATTAACTAGGACACTTGGGAAAATGCCTTTGGATTTTTTTTTCTGGCCAGTCTTCTCTGTTTACATTTTAAAAATGAGTCTTTCCTACACTGTGTAAGATTGCAATTGGCTTTTATCACACAGTACAGAATTTTGGGCTCCGAACCCTTGCTAAGTATGAACAGCAATGTCCCCTAAAGCCAAGGATAATCTACAGCAGGGGAGTCAAACACATTTTCACCGGGGACCACATCAGCCTCGCGGTTGCCTTCAGGGCCGAATGTAATTTTAGGACTGTATAAATATAACTGCTCCTTAACTAGGGGCGAGGACCTCTACATTGGCCCTTTGAAGGCAACTGTGAGGCTGATGTGCCCCCCCCAGTAAAAATGAGTTTGACTGCCCTGATCTACAGGAACCAGCTTTCTCCAGGTAAACTGTGGCAGACTTAGCCTTCTGCCCTCGCTGCTGGCTAGCACCCACCCAGACTGCGCAGACTGCAGTCACTTGCCATTCTGGGGTGGCTTTCTCTGGCTCTGCACGTTCTCCATTGGTCATGTGTCTGATTTTCCCGCCTGTGTTGGTTTCAGATACAGCCGAAGTGTGAAATCTCTTGATGTACCACGAATGCCCCCAGTTCTCACCAGAACATCCCTTTTCTTAATTATCTAGCTGCCGTCCCATCCCTCCTGCAAATAACCTCCTCCAAAGTGAAAGTCTTGCAGCGTGGGAGGGGGCGGGAGGACTTGGCAGTGAGAACTTGGCAGTGAGACTTCCTGTCTCACCCTGGAGGATTGCTGGGTTAGGCCTTTCTCTCTCTGCTCCAAGAGGGGGTATCAGGGTTACTTCTGCTTTCTATCTCCACCCCAAGGTGAGGTCTTTGCCTGGTAGGAAAATGTATGTGTGCAAGGCCTGTGTTCCCTCGTAGGGCCTCTGTGGGTGGTGCAGGGAGAAGCTGAGATGTATTTCATGCTAGTCCAGTGAAGCAAAAGTTAGATAGGACATGGACTTGTTCTAGCAAACCTCTTCGTTTGAGAAAGCGTAGTTGCTTGCACACCTCGCGATTCAGAGGAAGGGTGGTGACTAGCAGGTGCGACCTGAATTAGCTGACTTGGTGATGAAAGTCAATGTTTTTCTTATCTGATAGCTTAAAATGTTTTAAACTACAGAATAATTGGAAGAAGAATACAATGAACACCCTTCATCTAGATGGACTAATTGTTAACACTTTCCCCACCTTTGTTCTCTCCTTTTATGTTCATACTTTCTACACCAACATGCACACACATGATTTCCTTTCTTGCCTGAACTATTTAACTATAAATTGCAGACATCATGAGACTTCAGTGTTCTCTTACATAACCATCATATACCATTTTTGTACTTAGGAGCATTAACAATCATGTCAAATGATATCTAATATCCCCACATTCAAACAGACCAGATCTCTCTCCCTAACCCCCAACTCAAATGCCTCATTGCTTTTTTTTTTAATTTGAAAATAATTAAATCTGGGATCCAGTCCAGGTTTTATAGTACATTTAGTTGTTATATCTCTTTTAACCTAGAACAGACTCTTGCCTCTTATTGATTTTTTCATGACATCGACTTCAAAATCCAGGCCCTGTGATCTTGTTGAAGGCCCCATGTTCTGGACTTGTCTGATGGTTTCTTCACGCCCGCCTGAGAGCACATGCGGCTCCGGGGTGCGGTCCTGCCTGCTGTACCTGCTCAGGCGGCACTCGGCCCCAGCAATCCACTCGCTGTTTCCATTATATGGGAACCATCTGCGTTTTGTAATGAGTAGATACAACATTTGGTGAATTTGCCCTGTTTTGTAGCAACTTTTTACCCAGTAGTTTTAGTATCCACGATGATCTTGTCCTGAATCAGTTATAACAATGGGGTTTGGAAAAAATGATGATTTTTAAAAGTCCTATCTTTATTGTTTGCCACACTTCAGTAAAGAAAAGCTTTCTTTCTTTTTTCTTAAGATATTATGTATTTATTTTTATGCAGTTGGGAAGGGAAGGAGAAAGAGAGGGAGAGAAGCATCAGTGTTTGGTTGCTTCTCATGTGCCTTCTACTGGGAACCTGGCCTGACCCACAACCCAGGCAGGTGCCCTAACTGGGGATTGAACCAGTGACCCTTTGGTTCACAGGGCAGCACTTAATCTGCTGAGCCATACCAGCTGGGGAAGAAAAGCTTTCTTACATACCTCCATTACTGTTTCTTTCTCTCTTCACCTTTTATATCAATATAATTTCATAGATTTATTTATTTTAAATTCAGTGTATTATAATCTATAAATAAATCATGGATTTATTTATTTAAAATTCACTGTATTATAATTATTATTCAGTTTATTTTAAATTCAGTGTGTTCTCTTCGATGCTAAAATTGTCCCAGTGTGGTCAGTGGGTAGCCCTTCAAGCTGGCCCCGTACCCTTAGCCTTTGAATATTCTTTGCTTTTGGCAAATGAGATATCCTTATGCTAAGATATTCTTAGGCTCACCTTGCATGTTTCCTGCCTCTGCCCTGGAAATCGCTCTTTTCTCTAAGAAGCCCTGATTGTTTTCATTGGGAGCAGTGGTAAGTGACAGAGAATTGGGCACCGGCTACTTGTTACTGGGGCGTCACTGCTTCTCTGACTCTTCAGCGGGAAGAGCTGCGGGGTATACTTTAAAAAATCAAAAGTTCATAATGACATTTCTTATTTAAACTTAACATTATCGGGGTTTTTTTTGTCTTTTATTTTATGTCTTGGTGAGCATTTTTGTTTCTAATTACATTAATATGTTTGTGGGCATTAATTTGTGTAATTATAATTATGCCTCTTACTGTGCTTTGCCTTCTTTTCCATCCTCACCCCCATCAACACACATACTTTTCCTGTTTCTCTTTTCATGTATGCTATAAGAATATAGCCTTAAATTCATTAAATGCAACAACAAAACACACATTTTACCTATAAAATATCGCACAACATAACATGGTATTAACATAAAATGTATTTTTTAAAAAGCTTGTAACAAACCTGAAGTGCTGGCTTTGTCTTCCTGGCGGTGCAGGTAAGATGACCATGGCGCTCAGTGACCGAGCAGTTTTCTACTGGAAGGTGTCTGGCCCGTCTGCCTCCCAAGACCTTGGCCTTCCCGATGTCCTGAACTGCCGCGTCTCTCATAATCTCACAGTCCTCTGTAACCTGACATTTTCTTTCATGTCTGTGTCATTTTCAACCCCAGTGTTTTACTGCAACAGAGAAAATCTTAGATGGCCTCAATTTGTTGCCCTTCGGCTAACTTCCTTTACCAGCTGAACAGAGGGTATTAGCAGTGACTGTCTCAGCTCCAAAAGGGAACACCACCCATACAGTGCTCCTCTAGGCACAGATAATTTGAACTTTTTAGTATCTTCCATGATTTGTTCACCTCCACCAAAATTTTTTAATAATTTGAATTCATTTTAATTGTAGTTCTCTTTTGTAATCTTTTAGACTGTATCAGTCAATTTTTATACTCCTGTATGTTCTTCACATTAACAGTGCTAAGTAGCTTCATCCTTTTCTATCAAAGTAATGTACCCTACTTTATGATATTATGCCCTTATAGAGTTATAAGTTTATAAGTTATTTCAGTTTCTAGTTTTCTGAAAGAAAACTGGATATTGGAGTGAATATCTTTCCCCTTCCATTTAATTACTTTCTTAGAAAGAAATTAGAAGAGAAATATTCCTGGGTCTATGGGTGGAACTATTTTATAGCTCACCATCTATGTGGTGATAGTTTTTTTCAAAAGGCCTGAACAAATTGAAGAACTTATCCAAGGTATTTAAGCTCACTGAGCTAGCACCGTGGGGTTAGTATTTGAGCCTAGGCCTGCACAAGGCCCATTCAGACTTTCATGGGCCATTTTCCCTAACCCTGACCCTGACCTTGACCCCACAGCTCCTCAGTATTTACAGATAGGAACACCCACCCGTCTGTTCTCACTGTAAAACTGTGAATGCCTTTATTTCCGCTTCCTTTTCTTTAGAAGCATAGCAATGTGTCAAGTTCACAAACCGCAAATCATTATCACAAGTCAAATACTGTTCCTTGTATCAGAGTGACCACAGAGATTGGAGTGATATGGCCACAAGCCAGGGAGCACCTGGGGCTGGCAGAAGCTGGAAAAGGCAAGAAAGGATTCTCCCCTAAAGCATCTCTCTTGGAGGGAATGTGGCCCTCCTGGCACCTTGATTTAAGACTTCTGGTCCCCAGAACCGTGACAGAATGAATTTCTGTTCTGTTAAGCTGCCCAATTTGTGGTAATTTGTTATAGCAGTGCTAGGAAAGAAATACTCTCATATAGCTATTAGCTCTGGGGAATTAGAAAGCTTGTAGTTGCAAAGAATTGATTGGGGTGTCTGGCCGGGTACCTCATTCGGTTAGAGCATTGTGCCAATATGCCAAGGTTGTGGGTTTGACCCTCAGGGCACACATAAGAATCAATCAGTGAATGGGTAAATAAGTGGA